TCAGGGTCACATCGGAATTCTTCACCAAATTCAAAATAAAAAATAAAGTTTTAAAATAATGTTTTTATTTTTATTATTTAATGTTTCTGGCTCGGCCGGGCACGTGACCCCGGGCCACTCTGGTAGCCTAGCAAGAAATCCGGAAAAAAACTATGTTATGCAGAAAACTGAACTGAACAACTTTTGCCTCGGGGTCACATTGAAATTCTGTACCAAATTTAAAATAAAAAGTTTAATTTAAAAATATATATATATTTTTTTATATTTTTTTTCCTTTTCGGCCCGGCCGGGCAAGTGGACCCGGGCCACTCTGGTAGCCTAGTCAGTAACTGATTACCGGGTTTTTGTTAGAATTTCATGATTTCGTTTAATTTCCACCACTCTCGATTAACCGGTCTTCTTTCTGCCGGTCTATTTTTAGTTCCCCCTTCTTGATTACTGCATTTATTTAGTGAAAATTTCTTTTTCCATCATGCAATTCAATTGCACGGTCAATCAGAAGATAGAAACGGAGACGTTAATTACTACCATCACTGCAATGTGGAAGAGGTGAAGACTCTCTGGACTGAAATACGCAAGAACACACACCCTCCTTATCCCGCTGTACATGACCTCACCATTCTCACGGCAGCAATCCCGCCATTCTCATGGCAGCAACCCCGCCATTCTCATGGTAGCATCATTCCCACCTTTCTCAAGGCGACGCCCCCAACCCCGCCATTCTTATGGCAGCAGCCCCACCATTCTTATGGCAGCAGCCCCACCATTCTTATGGCAGCAGCCCCACCTTTCTCAAGGCGACGCCCCTGCCATTCTCAAGGCTGCGACCCCACCTTTCTCACGGTAGCAACCCCGCCATTCTCACGGCTAACTGGAGGTACATGACTTGAAGGTATGCCCATTGCGACCAGATTGCTTGGCCTCCTCTTTGGGCAGCCTTTGTGGCACAACAGTGTTGTGCTGATCTGAGGCACATGGATGGATGCCGGGCTGCGAGGCAGGGGGGAAGCAAGAGGAGCAGTAGTTTTCCGCCCTGCGCGAGCGCATATTTTTGGTTCATCTGTCAGCCGTTCACAATTACCAATTGAACATAACAAGGTGTAGCGCATCTGTTTTGGGTACAGAGGGTCATAGGTTCGAATCCTGTCTCCTTGAGTCAAAACCAGAGTAAATTGTCATGAAAATCAATCGACCATTATCACCTCATATTATCACTATTTATAAGCCACAATTAACTTCTACTTTCTCTATTTTTCATAGAATTTGTTCTCCTCATTTGGCGACAGATCATTGACTTGGCAGTCATGTAAGGTTTGCCAGTAGTTTTCCGCCCTGCATAAGCGCATATGGTCTATCTGTCCGCCGTTCAGTTGTACTGCGCTGTTCGTGTCATATGGTACATCTGTCAGCCGTTCAGAATGATCGCCTCGTTTGGGGATAGATCGTTGACTTGACGGTCTTGTAACGTTTGCCAGCGGAGAGACCGTGTCAGCGAGGACCTTGTCAGCGCGGACCTAACGAATGCAATAAATGGGAACAAAAAGGGAAGCTGCTGTTGTGGCAAATTAGGAAATAAAAGCGAACTAACCTTGAGAAAAACAGGTGGCTGTTGTTGTCGAACAGAAGCCACAAAATAACTACAAAGAAAAACAGCCACAGATGGGTATGTTCGTGATACAAAAAATTAACTAGAGAAAACAGCCACAGATGGGTATGGTCGTTTGCAATATGAATCACCAATGGAGTATGACTGGTGGCTGAGCAATTACCACCAGGCATGTCCTCGCTAAGAAGCCGTGCCGCTCGCTCAGTCGTAGCACATCTGAAACAGGAGGAGTGAGTCTCCCGTTGGTGAAACAGAAAAAAGGATGTTGCTGGGTTGATTTGAGATTTCCAGCCACGAGGTCTTGTGCGTTGCAAAAACCGTTTGAGTTTACATATTAACTGTATTATATTTGATGTAGAGTGTACAGAGAGATTAGAAAGAACAGGACACATAGTCACCTGAAGGGGGCATAGTCACACTAGCACTTTTCTAAATGTATCTGACTGCAATTACAATCAGAGCTTGATGATTCTGACAGCAATGACGTCCAGAGCTTAGCGTAAAAGTCCTCTAGTGTGAGCATATATGCCCTCAGTCTGATTGCAAGGCATGACAGAGAACGAACAACCAAGAGCAGTGCCACCAAAGGACCGTCTTTAAAGTAAAAAAAAAAAAAAAGAAAAAGAGTGGAGGCGAAAGAAGCGAAGAGGAATGCATAAGTACGCCTATTCGTCGGACCTCGAGAAATGAGCAGCAAGGTAGGGAAATAAGTGGAAGAGGAAAGCACAAATATATGCTTATTTGGCGGACGCGGCAAAAGCGGAGAAGACGTGAAAATCGAAGCACGAGTATGTATATGTTTATTCGGCGGACTGGGAGAAATGAGGAGCAGCGACACTAGAAACAGTCGATCCCACCTTCACCAAACACGAAGATAATAAAAAAAACAAATGTTGCTGTTCTGCAACTGGAAAGCGCACTCTACCTGTTAAGTGCAGAAGAAACAAGAGGAGAGGGTAGCCTGCATTCAAGCAGAAGCCTGCATTCAAGCAGCATCTTTTTTGTCAGGTGCTGTCCATGCTCTTGTAAATCGCACTTGCTCGAATGCAGTGTAACAATGAGAGGGCACTCGTTGCGTTTCCAGAAGAAATCCTACTTGCTGTCTGTCTACTTTGCGCTTTCTTATCGAGCCGCACGCAGCTTCAAACCGGAAATGGTGTAGTCGATGAAATGACCACGATGTTTTATGGCTGCGCTGGATTGGATTGATAATCCAATGGCCGCAGGTCTTTCTCCGGCCCGAAGGGGTAGACTCGGTAGAGTGCCGGTTTAAACCACCAGTACGTCCGAAAGTCGTGCCTGTGTAGAAGCCACAATTTTAGGAAATGTACGGGCCCCACTACAGGAGCTCCCAAATTCATCTGACTAGAAATGCTTCTACTCTTTTTTTTTTTTGTTTCCCCGGCCGAGAGCTGGGCCAAGTTCTTCTGGTTCAAAGTTCACAGGCTTCCAGGCTTTCTTGGTGGCTTTCTTGGCTGCCGTGCTGGATCTGCATGGTGATGCATCATCATTTCATCAGGGGGACTTTTTTTTTCCTTTCCTTTTTCCTTTTTCTGAAGGGTGTCGTCCTTGAGATGTCATCATAGAATTGACTGGCCCTAGGTAATTCAGAACTGTGATATTTCACTCATCTGCTTTCAACAGAGT